TTCGGCCACATGCGCATCCACGAGAGCGGCCTTGACCGCACTCCCGACACACCCACTACATCCAACACATCCACCGTGCACACCCCCACTCTCGTTCCATCCGTCCGCGACACCACCACCACCACCGCCTCCTCTGTAGCTGACACTGACACCGCCGACTTCTCATGCCCACACTGTCCACGCACATTCACCTCACGCATCGGCCTGGTCGGTCACTTGCGAATCCATCGCACAGAGACTGGCGAACCAGTGCCTGGAGCACCCACCTATACCCATCAAGCTCGTCTCAACTGCCCACACTGTCCTCGCACTTTCAGGCATCGCATGAGCCTATTCGGTCACATGCGCATCCACGACGACCTGCGGTAGACAACCGCCGGCCACACCACACATTCACTCACTCCCTACCTCCTCCACCACCACCATCACCCCACCAGAAATCAACACTCACATACCTCATGCACCCAACTGCCACCTCCCATGCAAGTGGGAAGTCCGCATCCCGACTCGGTCCCCATGCGGCTTCGGCTGCACGGGTGACTTGAGTCCGAGACTATCCCGACACGTCAAGCGTCGTGGATAGGAAGGTTGCTGATTGACGCCCGCTCTCGGTTCACGCAGTTCGTCGCGTTGTGTGTGTGTGTGTGTTGTGTGGAGTGGCGGACAGGTGGGCTGGGGACGAGCTGAAACAGCACCTTTCACGGCCCTCTCACGCAAGTGAGAGACACGCCGTTCAACCCCCGTTGTGTGAAATCCTGGTGTTTGTGTGTGTATGGGGGGCCAGGTCGTGCTGTGGTGCGCGCAGACATGGTCAGTCGACCATGTCAGCCACCGCGCCCATTCCCCACTCCAGTCTTCTGACCGGCTCGGACAGCGGCTGGGGTGTGGGGATAGGAAGGGAGAGTGAGGTCGACGACTCAGCGCACTTTCTCCTCACTATAAACAATCTGACGCGCTTGAAGCTACCACGGTGCGCTAAAAGCCGTGGCTTGGAAGGTTGCCAACTGACGGGGTACCTTGGACCTCCTCCTTCACTGGAGGCGGTCTGAGAGTCAGGCTGCAATGGCTCCTTTTTAATGTGGCCTTTATGGCATCCCCACCACAGTGTGGGATCCGAGCCAGGCGTTGGCGGCACGCCCAGGGGCGGCTTCGGCCGTGCCAGCCTCCAAATCTCTGTTGTGTTGGTTGAAATCCTGGTTATCGCTGTGTGGACCAGGGGGTGAGGTGGAACGCCAAGGTGAGGATCCGTCCGAGCCATCCACCTGCGACCTCCCTCGTCTCCGGTCTTCTTGACTCTGTCTTGACACCGGGTCCAGGCGGGGGAGGAGGAGAGAGTGTAGGTAGATGCTACGCAAGTCTACCGGCACTATAAACCCCTGCGTAAGTCACCGTCCCTGCTCCCATTGCTGCTGCAACTGTGGGGCACACGGTGGACATCATCGAAACCGATGGTCGAACTGTCACCTGAACGTAGTCCAGCAGATGCCAGTGACGCCACCGAGGGTGAACCCACATCGCCTTCCCCGAATCGGAAGACGAAAAATGTTGTTCAGAAGAAGACTGTGTTCCACACAGGCCTCTAAGGGGAGGCTATTGCATTTGCAGCTGCCGATCACACAACAACTGAGCGCTCCCTTCAGGCAGCATGGTCTGTGCTAAAGCCTGCACGGAGGCCGCTAATGACAGGCATTTCGTCCATCTGCGGCACAGCTGACCGAAGGCAGTCTAGCCTGTGCTGGCGCGGGCACGGACGCCACCGATAACAAGCAGTTTGTCCATTTGCGACATGGTTGGCCGGAGGACTTGCAGCTCTTCATAGAACTTGTCCTCGGCGTCATCGGAGTTGATCATTGAGGGGACGAGAACGCTGACAAATATGTTCCCTCGGATGAGAAACCTCGGGATTATGAGGCGGTAATTGATGCCCTGTGGACAGTCGTCTCACAACGTCGTGCCTGATGACAAAGGAGACTCCTATTTCCCCTTGTTATGCTCCTGAACGTTCGCTTCGGAAAATGTATCCAACACTCATATTCTACACTTAGCCCTGCTCAGAGAAGCGGATCTCACTGGCAGCCGAAAGGCCAGTTTGTGGGCGACTAGGGTCATCATCCTTTCTTGACGCCTTGCCAGCGTGAATCGTGTCACTCTGACCGTCTTTGGGGAGGCATAGGAATGTGGAGGGAAGTTGTTTTTTGTAGTTTGTCGAACGCAGGTTTCGCACCCACAAGCCACAGTCGGCTTGTGGATGGGGTGTTTTAACATGGATTTTGAGGGCACTTTTTCTAGCCTCCTCCCCCGCGAGGGGGTAAGTAGAGCTACCCCTAAATAGGGCTGCTTAGTCATTGAAGGCGGTTGAGGTATCCCACTAGAGATCAACATCTTTGCCTGGTAGAAGGATTATCCGAGTTAGGCCGCGTCGCCTATGGGATTACATATCGTGATGTATGTGGGAGTGGGGAGGGAGTTTGGGAATTATTTCGGGATACTCTCATCCGGCCTAGCACTCCGGTCAAGGACGGTTTTCGGGGTTTGGCCGCCGTACTAATCGTTGCCCTATGAAGCCAAAATATGAGCTGGATGTCGCTACCGGGCAAAGCAGAGGCAGGCAGTAGGACCATCGACGCGTTCAACATACTGGACCTTCTTGCCATTTGCTTCTAAAACGGGTCATACGGTAGATGGCTTGGACTAGATCGATGTCCGGCAGGCTTTATCGGAAATACTCACCTATAACTAATGTCGACATTGGGGATGTAGTGACATTCCCAGTTGCATGTCGAGGCTGCGCCAATTGGGATTCATACCGTCCCCTACTTTGTTTTGTGGTATAAAAGTTCGCCCAGCGTATGTTATAGACCGAGGTGTGGCCTTACGCCGTGTCGGCCACCCGCCCCATCACCCGCCTCCAGTCTTATTGACTTTGTCTTGACATCAGATCCAGTTGAAAGAGGAGGAGAGAGTGCGATAGATCCGGCGCAAACCCACTATTATTAGAGACGAACTCCCTCGCCTATCACCGTTCCTGCTCTCACCCCGCTGTGGAGCACACGATGGACAGCGTCAAAAACAACGGTAGAACTGTAGTTGCTTACCACCATGATCGGGCCAGGGCCAGTTGGCGTTACCTACGCTACATTTTCGTGCATGGTAGTTGCCGGCAACGTATTTGCGGTATGGCATAATCGTTAGTGCAAGGTTCTATAATGCTCATTAAACTGCATCGACGAAACTGGTGTGACCGTACAGCTACAGCGTGGGTTCCCGGTCACGCCGACCCTACGACACGACGCCCGCCTGAACGACTCTTTGTTAGAGTTTCGATCGTCACCTTTTGCTGGATCTTCACGCACGTTGTTAACAGCCACTCCTTGCGTAGCGGTCCCGATGAACTATTCTGCGGACCACCCCCATCCTCACTGCGAGGTCATCAAAATCATTCTAACCTGGCCCAAGCACCTAATCGCCGTTATACGGAGGACTGGGACCTCACTGAACCCTGTGTAACACAACATCGACCATTCCAGAAGAGTTTTTGATCGGCTTCCAAGTATGCTTGCTGCTGCTGCCCCGAATGAGCGCAAGTTCTCCGCCTCATTCAGTTTGTAATTTTGGTGCTCATGTCACATTGGTTTGGTGTTCACAAATATATTCAGATTAGAGGATTGTATGTTACTGGTTCCGTTTTGATTCGACTTTCTGGTCTATAGCCCTGGCAGCCGGTCATCCGTTCTCCGTCCAAAAGGCAGGACAAGCCAGTGAACTTTACTTATATGTGAACTTGTGTACTTCCGATCTCGGCAGACGGAATGTGGGCCCGGCAGCTCATATCGTCTGACATAAGGGCCGATTGGTCATCTAGCCGGTTTTCGCCTCCTAGATCCTCGACTGTTATGTTGGCGCCCGACTGACTAAGGGCGCAAATAGGCCAAAATTTGTCATTAGTGTCTGCTGTCGCAGTCAGAAACCCCTATTGATTTTGATGTTGTTTAAAGCTATAGCTGGATTCCTCTACTTTGATGCTGTAAAAAGTAACTCTGACAGTCTGTCGTTACCGGCCATGTCAACCGTGTGCCCCACAGCATGATGGGGGCAGGGATGGTGAAGTGTGCGTGAACTAGTTTGTAGTTATGGTAGACTTCCGTCGCATCTACCTTACTGTCTCCTCCAAAGTCCCACCGGGCCCGGTGTCAAGACAGAACCAATAAGGCTGGCGGTAGAGTCGGACGTAGCGGCTGACAAGGCTAAACTGTCCGTCTGCGTACACATTTGGTCTGCACGCAGTAGATCAGGGTTTCACCAAAAAAACGAATGGACGACTCTGATCCCAGCAGGGTTTGACTGACATAGAGGCCGCATTCAGTAGTCATAACAGCCTGACTCTCGTCGCTTGGCAGCCTTTTAAGCTACGGATTTTGAGGAACCGTGATAACTTCAAGCGCGTCACTTTGACTGTAATGAGGAAAACGATGATGAACTGCGGTGATGAAGTCCCCCTAGACGACCTTATTCTGTCATCTCTAATTTAGGCCTAAGTCCGTTGTCTGAGATGATCAGACGTCTGATGCTTCGATCGAGTGCAATGACTGACACAACTAGGCCTCCCGTCTACGCATGCACACACGACCTACTCCCCACACAACATGCCAGACTTCCACACAAAGGGTGTCGGCCGTTCGGATCTCACATGCGTTAGAGTGACGGGAATGCCACGTGAAGAGGGAGTCAAATAGCACAATTTCCACCTACGCGTGAGATGCCGAGCTCATGTCCGCCGTTTGCAATGTTGGACGTTCCCATGCATGGTGCATGTATTGATGGGGTAATATGCGGTGACGTAGTTTAATCTGCGTTGGTTTCCTGGAGATTTGCATGGAACCGCATGTGACCGAGTAGACCCATGCGGTGAATGATTGTGGTGAGCAGTGCGGACAGTGGAGGCGGATTCGGCAACTGTATATCGGAGCCCCTGACACTGGGTTACAGATGTCAGTGCGATGGATTCGAAAGAGACCGATCAGACCGATAAGTGAAGTGAAGGTACGATCATAATGAGGACATCTTGGAATCAACTCCGCACTGCTGATTGTGAGGGGGGATGGTGACGGGGATGGTGGCTGATTGAGGATTGTGAGTGTTTCTCTCAGTGATGGGAGTGAAAGGAGTTTATATCCCCGTCCCCGTCTTCATGAGGGTTGTGGAAGGGATGACAGGATGGTGGCGGCAGACAGGGGCGGACATCAGGAGTGCTATTAGCCGTGGGAGTATGCCCAGTGGTAACTATTCGGACGCTTGTGTAGGCAGCAGCTGGAGTTGTCGGGTTGTTATTACATTGGGTCCTACAATTCAGACGGGGTCTATCCGCGCACAGAATGTTTGTTGAGCGTGTTGACATGTTGGAGTTGATGTGGGAGACGTTTGAAACTTACAAGCCGCTATTTTGAATTTAGCATCGGCTATCCGATTGACTCCATAAGTCGCTGCTGCAGCCTGCACTGCTGTCCACCAGGCCGGTCGATCCTGGATGAGATCCTCCAACGTCTCCGCAGTGATTTGAAGTTCCTTATTAGGGGTTTACAGGCTTTTCTTGTAGCGTCCTTTTCGTCCTTCTTATCAGCGAACACCCGTGGCGACATCGCTTCAGAAGAGTCGTTTGGGTAGATGCTGGGTATCTATCCACACGAGGTGGTCGCTAAAGAGCGGTCGAAGTTGCCTCAGCATGATGTGGATGCCGAGGATTCCGGTCCGTCTGAAGACTTCCGTGTCGGGGATCCCGTATAGTCATCCCAAATTCATCTTTCCTCGGAGGCCGTTTAAGTTGAATTGGTTGACTTCCCTTCCCTGTCTCTCGTAGGCTGTCCGTGTCTTCCTTTATACAACAGCGTCGACAAGATGAGAACTCTGTGCGTCTTGAGTTCGGTGTTGAGGTGGAGACCCTGGCGACTCCACACTGCGTCCTGCAGCCGCCTGAAGGTATGACTGGCTTTGGCGCCTCGGTGGGCCACTTTATCGTCGATTAGGATGCTGCTTAAACGTGCTGCCTAAGCAGAGAACCTTGTACACCGAGGCGTATCGGGTGCCGATGCTTCGTTGCACGACTGCTGCTGCTGTGACACAGTGGCTATTGAAATCTGCGTAGATGCCTTCATTTGTCGGGTGTTGAGAAACTAGCCTTCGACCCTGTAGTCGACGTAGACTCCTGACAGCTCCTCATGATAGGCGTTCGCCAGCATAACGCAGAACGAAAGGTTAAGGAGAATTAGCACGAGTACACAGCCCTGGTCCATTCCACTAGCCAATTCGGATGTTTTCAAGAGTGCCCATTGTCGATAGTTTGAGCTCTAATTCCGTAGTGGAGTTGGCGTATCATTTTTGTGAAGCGCATCGGACATCCGAATTTCAAAATAAGCCTCCAGAATCTGCCGCCATTCTCTGTATTGTAGGCCATGGCCAAGTTTGCGATTGCAGTGTACAGGCTGGTCTGCATTTCCTGGCATTTTTCTTCTGGTTTGCTGGTTGCGAAGATCATGTCGATGATTCCGCGATGTCTTCGGAAGTCAAACTAATTTTTCAGAAGAAGTCTGTGTCCCGGATGGCCGTTGAGACTACTTAGGAGGATGCAAGCGAAGATCTTCCAGCAGTGATGAACACCGAGATTCCTCCGTGACTATCACAGAGTTTTTGGTCCCCTTTCCGCTTGTAGAGATGGACGATTGTCATGTTCTTGAAATACCGAGGGACTTGTCCCTGCTGCCACATATCCTGGAGGAGCAATGTGAATCTGTCCATGAACGGAGGATAGCCTTGCTCGTTGAGTTTGGATCCCGGTGCTATCTCGCTGCCGAGTTGTTGCACAACTCTAACAGTTTCTGGGACAGAAGGCGGGAGGTGCAGTCTGTTAGTGGCAGCGTTATAGATTGTGGACGGTCCACGGAGAACGTTTTTGAAGTGTTTCGTCCAAAAACGTAGATGCAGTGTGTGCAGTGTCGAAACTGAGAAGCAGCGTAGTTCTATTGACGCGGGTGCCGTAGACTGCCTTGTTGGAGTCAAAGAAAATCCAGTAATGACGACTTACAAGGCCATTATAGCGTCCTTTGTCCTTGTTTATGATACTCCTCGCTGCCGATATCACCGTTCTCCATGATGAGGACTAAATCGTTACCAACATAAAAAAAACTCGAAAACCTTGCTCGACAGTCTTTGAACAGTAGTTGTCATATTTTTTAAAGAAAAGTCTCCGTGATGAAACCAGCGAGCCAATATCTCATCGGAGGGCCTCTCTTCCGTTCAGCTGCGTTCCCGTCAATCGTACCACGTGCTTAAAGACAAAACTTGCGTAACCATGTAAATGGATGTTATTGAGTGCTTTGTTTGTTACACCATTTTTGTTCCTCAGTAAACTAAATGCGATGTTAAGCGAGGTAATAACCTCGTCAGTGATGGTCTGTAGCTCTTTACCTTCCTACAGAAACCTCACGATCCAACAGGAATGTGTACAGAAGTATGGGATCCCTAGGTACAAGTCTTGAAGCAGCCGTCTAGCGAAATTGACTGTAGGCATGTACTAGGGCTCCTTAAGTCGGCATTTGTCCCCTCAAAGCGCTGCTCTGCAGATGGAGTTAACCAAAACGGAGGGTCGGGTTGGCTCATGGGCTGCGTTCTATCGGGCAGCACAGAGACCGCGTGAATCCGCACTTGCTGCCGTATATGCGTGCGGTGGCACGTCTTATATTCCGCTTAAGCCACCGTACTGAATCCAACATGTTGCTGGTTTACAAGCCCGGGCAGTCGACTGTGGCGTGGGAGAGAGAAGGGAGAGGGATGTTGACATTGGGAAGGCCAGCTTCGTGGTACATTAACACATTCCTCATTATGATAAATCTGACGCGCCAAAAGTCATGGCTTGGAAGGATGCCACCTGGCGAGCTAACCCGGTGATTCTCAGGACTGAGGGCCTGACAGCAGTGGTTTCTTACCAACGTAGCCATCATGGAAACCCGGCGTATGCGAAATCCTAGTGTCTGGTACACGTGGATTGAGAAGGAGGTCATGTGGAACACGCATGGTCCGGCTGTTTAGATTTGATAGCCGCTGCGTCCGCCTCTACCTCTTGACATTGTCTTGCTTCTAGAATCAAGCGGGTGATGGAGGGTGGTGTGCGTTGGACGCTGTGAAAGTCTGTTTCACTCCAAACTGCCGCACGCGCAAGTCACATTTACCGGGTCAGTTCCGTGTGACAAGCGGTTTTTGTCGCCATCCGCGAAGGTCGGATTGTTAAAATGTCGTTAGCTAACAAAAAAACCCCGCGGCAATGTCTACGTGTGGGCTAAACTGAACTCTGTTTACTTCGCGTTGGTAAACTCAACAAATTGGACCTTAATGGTTTCGAAAATCAACTTTAAGCATCCCATCAGGTAACAAACCTGGTTTTCAGAAGCATAAGTCAAGATGTGTAATAACCAGATAGTAAAAGTACATCTATTACGAACAACACTGATACTTTACAGGAATAAAAACCGACAACGTCGCAATATGTGACCCCATCCAGAATGCAGATGATAGGTCATTGTGCCTTACGGGACCGGTGGAAGTAAGGGTTATATGGGTGGGGCTAATGGATGAGAAAGAGAGCAGTGAAAATGAAGTAAATTGTGGAAAAATGTTCTAATTTCACGAATAGGTTCAAGTAGATCCGGGCATGACCTTGAAAGCGACCCGGAAAATTGAATAAAGGCGAAATTAAACGCCAAAATCCAAAGGAGGCTAAATATAGCGCCCGCACAACAAGACGCCAAGTTCAGAAATAAAGGCAGCGAAATATCTAACAGAAACCTAAGGGCGAGTGACGTTGGCGATCTCCGCAAGGGCAAAGTGGGAATGTTGACCCAACGGCGCGACATAATGATGCAGAACAGTGGATCACAGGGAAGCCACCAAGGGGGCGAGCAAAGGCACAGTATACTAAATTAGCGTGTATACCAACCGACGAATAAACTGGATGTGATATCTAAGCGGAAAACTATGCTGTCTTGGAAAAGGCAGTCAGTTTACTCAAATTAAACGTTAATACTGTCATAAGAATTAGTGGGCAGTAATAAGTAATATGCAAAGTTGGGTCATATATCGCGTCCTTTCCTAAAAACCTTTGCCAGGCAGGTCCAAGTGATCGGCACAAAACTGTTCACTCGAAAGAGAGCTAATTTCAATTATTTTGTTAACAGTGAAGTAAATGCCAATAGAAGCGAAGAGACGAGCCCCAGGAAGTAATCTTGAAGAAGGAGACACGATCGCCGGGACAAGAGCTTTATTAGCCTGACGTTTCGGATTCCTACTCGAATCCATCATCAGAGACAAAAAAGCGGAAACGGGTGGTTGTTGCATAAGGGGCTGTGGTATTTATAGGATGCAGAAGCCATGCTACCACATACCTATGAACATTCACGGCTCCCACCCCTTCATCAGGGATTGTTGCACGTGGCGTGATGGCCGACATTCGAGTCGATAATTGCTGCAATCTCATCACGTGCGTTGGATGTTGGTGTGATGATTGCTCGACCATCTGACGCATCGACCCCGGTGTTGGGAAAAGTGTTCACCTCTGCTCTCCCCACAGATTCTCGCAAGAGGTGACAACTGCGTGAGCCGGAAGCTACTGGAATCATGGTTTACTGCCCCCCCCCCAGTCCATCAACAAGTGCAACGATGTTCCCACTCCATACTCCGTGCTGAAACTTCGCCTTGGCGGAGTAACAAGCCATGCGGCGATGCAAACCGCAGCGTATTCTATCACTTGCTGATCCTGTTGTAGGTCCTCCTCGTTAGTGTTCCATTGCTAAGTTAAATATGACGCTCATAAGACTGTTTGAGGACCAGCAGGTGAACTGCCTCGATTTAATGTTCACTAAGTCGCCTGAAAACATGGACATCGTGAACTGGCCCCTCTCAGTGGGTCAGAGTGACCATGTGGATCTTATATAGGAATACGTCTTGTTTTTCTGCCAGTCCAACCACCTAACTCCCTGCCCAATATTTAGCGTGGCAATTACGAACATATGAAAGATAATTTTATTCCTCTTGACTGGGTATATAAACTCTCCGGAGATATCGAGGAGGCTTGGCGGCAGTTCAGAGAGATAGCCCACAACCCCATCTTCAGCCACTGCCAATCATGCCAAGAAGACAACCAAACAGATCGCGTTGGTTGATTTCACCTTTGAAGAAGGAAGTTTAAAAAAAGAGGAAACAACGAAAAAGAACCCTCAATGATCGGACGCCCGAATCCCTCAACAATTACAAGTTACTGAAAAACCGGGACAAAATCCCCATCGTCGGGGATCGACAAGTCTTCGAAAAGAATCTTTTGAACCATGTTTTAGTTAATGCCGAGGTCTTTCACGGTACATAAGGCAGAGCACGTGGAAAAGGATCATATCCAACTGCTTCAGATGGCCGCGGATACGGAAATCTCGGAAGACAAGGATAAGGCTGAACATCTCTTTTAGTTCTTCAGGTCCATCAAGACAAAAGAACCCGACTATTTCCCACCCACCTGTGAAGACAAGGAAACGCGTACTATTGAAACGGTTATTCTGTATCAGTAACACCAACAATAGATTACGGAACAAGCAGACAGTCTTGGTGTTGAAAGGATAAAACAATGAGGATATCATTGAAAATGACGCTAAGGCAGAACATCTAAGTCGGTTTTTTGCATCTGTTTTCACTGATGAAACAGACTTTGACGAGGTTGGATTGCCTGCTGGAACAACTGACGAAATAAAAGAAAACATCGACTTCACGGAAGATGATGTAAGGAAGGAACTTCTAGCGCTTAAGGAGGGTAAGTCTCCGGGTCCAGACCAAATTCCGACAAAAGTTCTGAAGGAGTTGGCTTGCGAACTCGCCAGACCGCTTTTGCATATCTTCAGGTCGTCCTTTGACCGAGGCATTCTCACCTCTGATTGGAAAGTGGCGAACATATACCCCATTCACAAGGGTGGATCTAGAACTAGTACAAACAATTATTGGCCGGTGAGCCTAACGTGCATTTGCTACAAATTCATGGAGAGAATAGTCAAAAAATCCATAATGAAGTTTCTCGAAGAAAATAATTTCTTCGATAATTCCCAACATGGCTTTCGACGAAATTACTCCTGCCTAACTAACATGCTCTATTCAACGGAACAGTGGTCTCGCTCGATAGACGAAGGAACAAGAGTCGATATCGTTTACATCGATATTAAGAAAGTGTTTGATAGTGTTCCACACCACCGGTTACTTTACAAGGTCCGAGAGTCAGGGATAAGGGGAAACCTACTAAACTGGGTAAAGGACTTTCTGGCTGATCGATTACAGTCTGTGAGTATTGGTAGTGCGAAGTCAACGACAGTGCCAGTTGTGAGTGGAGTTCCTTAGGGCTCTGTACTCGGACCATTGCTATTTTTAATTTATGCTAACGACTGTATGAATGGACTGGACTGCAATGGAGTCATGCTTGCCGATGACATCAAGTTATGGCGAGCGATCAACGGGGAAAATGATGAACGGGCCCTGCAAGCAGGGCTGAACCGCCTATGCGAATGGTCTGATAAATGGCAGTTGAAGTTTAACCTTGAGAAGTGCGTCGCGCTGAGACTCAAAACAGCTAAAAGAGTCGACGGAGAGGATCACCATTACCTGCTTGACAAAAGGTGCCTTTCAAATGAAACCGAACAAAAAGATCTTGCGATCAACATTTTGTCGACCCTTTAAACTTCCTCTCAGTGCGTTAGGGCGGCCAAAAGGGCAACCAGTGTTCTCTTTGCCACTAAACGAACTTTCGTAGACATAGACAAAGAGTTATTTGGTAAAGTAAACGGAGCGTTCATTCGTTCGCATCTGGAATATGGAATCCAAGAGTGGTGCCCATGGCTAAAAGAAGACTATAAGTTGCTAGAAAGAGTTCATAGGAGGACGACAAAAAATTGTGAAAGGCCTCAGGACTTTACCTTACAACTGCCGACTTAGTGAACTTAACCTCGTTCCTCTTGAGTACAGACAGATTCGAGGAGATCTCATACAGGGATATCGGATATTGAGGAACCGGGACTGTGCTCTAAACCTCGACGATTTATTCACCCTGGCCACAACAACAAACCTGCGTGGGAACTCTCTGAAACTTAGAGGATCCCGATGCCGTCTGGACGTTCGCAGATACCGTTTTTCACAGCGAGTCGTCGGTGCCTAGAACGGGCTTTCCGAGGACGGAATAATGGCGGATACCACGGAGACGTTCAAGCAAAGACTAGATGTATATTTGCTTGGACAATACCGTTTTTCTGGACAGAACAGATCTGTGGTGCCAAACCAACGCCTTGCATACACCTATCGCTAATGCGGATGACTGTCGTTTCATTTTACCGAGATGATGCATAACTTGAGTTTCAGTCCTGCATTTTAAATGAAAAATATTCTGTTGCGTGTTAGTGTTACTGACAACATTTTAGCACCATGTTTATTTCAAGTTAGATATTGTACGTACCTTTTAAAATAGGGTTTTTAAAGGCATTGCCTATTTCACTTAAAATATACTGGCCAAAAGCATCCCAGCCCAAGTCTAACGTACATTTCACAAAGGCGCATTCTAATATCGCTAGTTCTGAAATCCCGGAGGACAAACCTGGTCGTTCGGCGTGCTTTGGAGTAAATCAGAGTGTAGCTTTCTGAAACTATCAAGACTCTTGGAATATGATACATCCAGATCCTTTATAACCTCAGGCACATTTATGCCGTGAACGCTAATACTTAGCTAGGGTTGGTGGTCATGGCCAACCAGCAAAACTGAACATTTATGCCAAGAAACAGAAAGGCGACATGTGCAGTACCACTGTCAAAGACCTGAAGATCGCTCATTGGCAGTTCGAGCAGGATGTCGCCATCTGCCGGCTTGTATCGTTATGCAACCTTTGAATCGTCGCAAACATGAAAGACCAACCATTTTGAAATAAATCTGGTACATCACTGACAAAAAGGCAAAATGGGAACAGGACAAATGCACAATTCTGAATGATTCCACGCCTCGTGCGTGTGCGTTTGAAGATAGCGTTGGAAATCTTAATCCGCTGTGTGCGACCATCCAGATAAGAGGATATCAAATTCAGAGTTTTACCACCTATTCCGACAGAGCGAAGTTTCGTGAGAAGGAGAGAATGGTCAACACGACCAGAAAACTTGATGAAATCGAAATAGACTGTGTAAAATTCGAAACCATCATCTTTAGATTGGAGAACATGATCAAAGAAAGAGAGCTTGCAGGTGTCCGAAGACCAAGTTTTGAGGAATCCATGCTGAGCAGCACTCAGTAGGTTATCGTCTGTTAAGTGACACATTAGCTTATCTTTGACCAATGTCTCTACGATTTTCGAGCTGCCGGAGGGGTGTTTATTGACCGAGCATCTTTAAATGTTGTGATTTAGCCCAGCTTGGAAAGGGAAAAATATATGATTCCTTCCACAAAGTGGGATGGGTTTCATTTTCTAGAACAAGTTAAAGCATTCTGCGCAGGAAATAAGGGGAAGCCTTATTTGCGTCCGCTTTTGAAGTTCTAGATGGGACAGCATCAGTTTTCGGGCTACAGTTACGACCCAGGGGATGAAAGTTATAATTTCGAGAACAACATAGGTTAAAGCCTAGATGCCCGAAAACGGAGCGGTTGAGTGCTTAATGGAAGTTTTAAACACGAAAGCAATTGATCCATCTGCGGCGATCTAAGCGTCAGCTGTAAGATTTCAAAGAGCATCTCGGAGGGTGAGATGCCGCGTTTTCCCATAGCGTCTTACTTTTCGACGAAAAAGTTTCGCGATTCTTTACGAGCTTCTTCGTGAGAAGTGTACCTCGAAGGTTAGCTGTTTTTTTTCTCGGACAGTCTATTAACCCGCATAAAAATATAGCCAATGGATAGGAAAACGCGCAAGGTATTCTGCAGACGAAATCGACGAGAGAGTCTGCCCAGCCTACGGCGAAAGGTCGAGTGGAGGAAAACTTCATCACCGATATCAATTAAAATTTATAGATATTTTCTGCGTAGGCTGTGTGCGTAAAAATAAAAAGAAAACGTGTTCTTAATGAGTGCGGAAGTAAGAAAAATGAAAAACACACACATAGAAAAGCGCAAAGTATATGCAGAAAAACTGAAAATACTATTTAGATTTGACTACATTGCCATTCTGGCGGCAAATCCAAGTTCGCTGGGCCGCGTCCGGTTGTCGGTCTTGAGGATTGGCGTTGTGAGTTTGTGGACTTAATGCTATGGTCCTTCTCGATTTGCTTTCACGTACTGCTTTGAGGCTATTTACTTCTGGAAGCGGGAACCGGGCTAGTTGCGGGATTTTCTGTTTTGTATGGACGAGTTATTCTTTTTGTGAGACAGAGGTACCGAAGATAATATAGTATTTTATATTCCTGCATATAACTAAGAGGAAGAAGTATCGAACTTGGATCAGTCATCGCTCCTCTAACCCCCGTCGACCTTTGGTTGTGATAGGGAATTTTCTAGCCAGGTCGTCTATTTTGCATAATTGTTATATAACATAGCGAAGAACTCATTGTCGCACTCATTGAAATGGGCGTGGACAGTAGTAGCATTAACGACTTTAAAAGAAATGACATAAACTACGATACAAAGAAGCATACTTGGATCCAAGTATGCTTCTTTGTATCGTAGTATACTCGCCCTTGACTCGGAATTCCGTCATCGACTCAAATTATTTTATTGCTTAATTTTACGCATTTGCCTGTGCTAGTCTTGCGCCTTTTAAGTCAGTCATGTTCACATTCCATTTCAGACGATTTGTGACCGTCATTTAAGTATCTCGTTGCGTGAAAATGCAACGTTTCTGCCGATTTGTCCGGCGTTCCTGTGTGTATGTCACCCAAACAAATATATCCACAAACGGTAGGACTTTTTTGTGCTTTAACCTCTTCTTAGCCCCTATAAAGCGCTTCTATAAAAGCGTTACAATTGCACATCGCGAAAGTACAGGTATATCCGGACCTTGTTTACTTTATTCATAATTGTTTTAGCCTGGTTTCACGGAGACAAATGTATTTTATTCAGTATAGTTAGGACCTTTCTGATTGCTCGAGGTCTGAGTATTGAAAAAAGACTAAGCATTTGCAATTTATGGAGAACAACACTCGCAACACGTTTAACTTTTGTTACCCTCCAATACCATTTCGTGTAAGATCTGGACATGTTTTTATCTCCACGTAGATGATCTGACCGAATCAGCTTATGAAATTCTGCTGGACAAACGCCGCCTGCGTACTCCATCTGGCAGTATTTTCAGCGTTCCCCACGAGGGCCTGGCGTTGGCTGTGGCCCATGAGTGGGATTACCAGAAGGAAACCATTGAGCGGTACACTATGCCCCTAGTAAGATTTGTATTCTTTGGCGTAAAATAGTCGTTAAACATACTTTCCTTATAAACAGTGTATACCGAAACCCGTAGACTTGGAGTAAACTTCCCGTTCCCCTTTATTCATTAACTTTCAGATATAAGTTTTAACTAATGGGAATTCCCGGGAGCTCGATGACGTTCGTGGGTGTTTTTCTTATCCGGTAACGGCCATTTAGTTTATTGACACAGTCGCCACGTCTGATACCTTTCAGTGAGTCTGTGAGAATAATGCATCTAGATGCTATACCGGCAATAAGGGCTCTAGACGTCAAAGTTTACAGCCTTCTCGCCTGTACACACGTCCTTTTCCACAACGCCCCTTACTGCCTTTCGACACCCAGTCGTGTGTCCACGAAGAGCCAATACCATTATCAATCAAAAGAAGATTTACCGATTGATTATTGAGTCCTCTAATTAGCTTAAGTCCGCATTTTTGCAGGGACGTGTGATCGCTGTTACTCAGTGGGTGACTTCCATTAATTCTGGTGAATGGTGAATCCTATTTATTGAGCGCAGCGAAAATAGGTCTATGCCGTCTTTGATGAGGGACTCAAGCAGGAATGCGAAACGTCAGGCGAATAAAGCTCTTATCCTAGCGATGGCGTCTACGTCTTCTTAGTCAAGATTTCTAGCTTAAGTGCCCCAGATCGTTGCCAACCACCTTAGGCCCGTTAATGAATTTTAAGTTTGTAACCAAGCTTCCTTTTTTTCACCGCTTTCCTTTGACTTGTCTTTTTTAAAGTTTTTTTAAACTCTAATTAAAGGTCTTTATTCGAAGAGTACTATTTTCTAGTCTCCAGGACTTTTAAGTTACTAGGTGTTGAGTGTTTTGTCATGTTATATGCCTCGTAAATTTTCACTTATTTCGATCTCATGATTTTACATCTACCTTCAGACGACTTTGTGCAACACTGTGATTGACAATCCAACTCAAAGGGATAAGGAAACCTTCGTTCAGGGCATAATGGAGTTTGCAGACGCCGACACAATTTGGTCAGTTCGTATTACGCCTCCATACACTCTTTACACGGGAAGATATTTTCGAACTTTAGATTATTTCTCGAGACGTTTTGCTTCGCACCTAGCCTCACAAAGTTCCGGCTGGGGCTGATGTCCCCCACGACATGCTAACCCTGTTTTCCGAGTTTTAAGAATGTTTTTAGCCAACTGAAAACGATCCTTCTCAGCACGTCTGGGAAAAGTTTAACTGACGTTATTGCGTCGCATAGGCCTCGCCTCTTCTGTTTTGGTCGCTGTTGGAACATAGCGGACACTTGCTAGTTAAAAGCCAGCCATGTTGCGTCGCCTCGTATGGAAATACTGGACGAATTCTACATCTTGTAGATAGCGAGGCCATATGCATACATAACCATTGACATTATCCTTACGCCAGTAGTCTAGGCGGACGTTGATGTTGTCGATATCCAGGAATTTCCTCCTTTCGGCGACACGTAACCTGTAACCTGATTCGGAGGGCAGCGCTTAAACCGGCGAAACCTTGATGGACGATGTGCAAAATTGGCCATGTCGTAGTACGGCTAGAGCTTGTTACTTTTTTATAGTTAGCCGACTTGCCAAACGAGTTCCATGGTTGTATCAGTACACGCCCGGCAATTGCCTGTTATCCAAACTCGGGTGCTTATTTATTTGACATAGGCCTTTCTTCCAAAGTCCATTCTTTATCTGATTTCTGTAGTAGCTTGTCGCCAGGCTAACAGATCACCCCATCACTGTGCGACTGTCTGCAGGGCTCTAGATTGAATCCAAAGGCACAACGAGATGATTAGATCACGTAGTTCGTTCGGTTAACACCCCCTACTATAGTTGACATGCCCGATCGCAACCGATAGGAAAACGAGCCCTTGGCTCAGTGGTTAGGGCGTCGGACTTCTGACCAGCAGAACACGAGTTCGAACCTCGGGGTTTTCAAACCCGGGACTGGGTATGGCCGGCTGATGACGGCCAACAAGCCGGAAATGGCCGTTCCAGTCTCCCCTGTCTGTTTTAATTATCTCGTTCTGCATATACCAATAGTTGCTGTGCAACTCCCTGCGGGGCTCTGGATCAAGTTTCAGGGGACAACGAGTCTGTTCTTATGATGGCCCCCCAACTGCCCTTACTGCAACCGCACATTCACCCACCGCATGGGCTGACTGTGGTGGAACGCCTAGGTGCAGATTCGGCCGCGCCAGCCTCCGTCCATTTGTTGTTGGTTAAAATCCTGGTAATTTGCTGTGTGGACCAGGAGGTGTCGAGTGGAGCGCCAGGGCGCGGGCTCGGCCGCGCCATCCACCCATGCTCTCCCGCCTCTGGTCTTCTTGACTCAGTCTTGACACCGGGTCCAGATGGGGAGTGGGGAAGAGAGAGTGCGGCAGATGCTGCGCAAGTCTACATTCACTATAAAGTGTATCACGCACAAGTCACCATCCCTGCTCCACCTTTCTGTGTAGCACACCGTGGACATTGTCGGCAACGACGGTCGAACTATCAATGGTAGGGGGGTTTCGGAGGGAGCTGACGAGGAGTGAGTGGATACCTCACAGTAGGCACCGAACCTCGTGACGCATTTACTGAAACCTTTAGACGTTCTGGCATATAGGTGATATCACCCGCCCGAGGCAACGACATTGCGTGGTTTTAATTTTATCTTTATGCCCCAGTATGCAGTGGTAGTTTGACTTGCTTCCCATCGCCTGTGCAAGCCGCACTTTATCAGTTTCCAGTGCTTGTAGAAGTTTAGCTTCTGAAAAGTGTGCAGAAAATGCACTCTTTATTCTGGGGACTATTACCTCGTCACTGAATGTCGGACTCGATGGTGAGAGTGGGGGGTATAGTTTGGTTTTGCAAAAGCCTACCACACTCTGTGTTTTGAGAAATGAATTACGTTGTCGTTTGGTTTTTAAGCTCACGAATTCCACTCTTCATGCAGGAGCCTTCTGACGCTCATAAAACGCTGAAGCAGATTTAGGCCGTGTGGTTTGTTCTGGGGGTAACCTTGACTCACGTGGCTAGAAGGATGTTCAAACAAAATTCAACGCTCTTATCTTGTTTGGTCTTGCTCTGGGATTATGCTCTGCGTCGATCCTGTCGAAGTCTAATTAAGGATGTTGGGAATGTGTTTCCTAAATTTTCTTTCCTCAGCAGTAATTGCTTCCCAATTGATTCTCTAGTTGCCTCGTCGAAAACCCAGAGGAATTGAGGCGGGAACAGGAAGAGAAGTGGGGCAAGGTGCTTGATTTCATCGAGAAGCAGTACTACTTTCGACCTCCCGTCACTTCGAGCATCTCCTTGCCCACCCTTCCGCAGGACTTTCGTGAATTCATTTTCCGTCACATTCTGTCCTACAATCGTTGGGGATTGGTCGGTAGGTCCTCCCCCTCAGTTTTTTTTATCATAATTTACTCCGGATCTGAATTTCGTCCCAGTTGCCACTGCTGCCGCACCTTTCAGCATAGAATCCTCCAAGAGACAGTCAGCAGCCGCTAGGTGCCACCTAGCGCACGCATTCGTTGGAAACATTAGTATTTGTTTTGTTTGGGATGTTCTGCCTGCTCCAGCCTGAATGGCCTGTTACAATAAGGTATCCGAGAGTAGCTTACAAGTGATTCTCAGCAAATTCTGTCTACCGAAGCTACCCCGCGGTAGTTGATTATGATTCTGGCTGTTTAATTTCCACTGAAGTCGCAGTTAGTGGGTTACAGAAGTGGTTTCACAGAAGAATGGAGCTGCAATAATTAAAAATCTACCCTGCCAGTCGATTTTTTTGCAGCCTTCGCCCCAATAGCAGGGGACTGCTTCAAATGCTTTGGTTGGGATACATATAAAACCCTCGTAACTGGTTTGTTTTCAATTACGTGCTGGTAGGAGTACTTCTGCGTCGAGGTTAGCCTTCATTGGGACTGTGTTCTTTTGTCCTTTGTCCTTAGAGCGGGCCACGCGACAGATGTGCTGGGCCAGAACAGAGTCCGGCAAGCGTTATTGGGAGTGCGCACCCATAACAAACGACAACATTTGAGACGTGATGGCACGCCCAGTTGCAGGCTCACGCCGCGCCAGTTAGGATCCATGTCGCCTTCTCTTCATATTAACATAAAATCCTAGTCAGTGTACCTTGTGGACCAGGAGGTGTGGTGGTACGCCTGGTTGCGGGTTTTCGCCATGCCAACCACCCGTGTGCCTTCCCGTCTCTGGTCTGCTTAACTTTGTCATGACACCAGATCCAGGTAGAGGAGAAGAGAGTGCAGTAGATGCTACGCAAGTATGCCATCATGAACGAATTAACGCGCAAACCACCGCCTCTGCTCTCACCTTGCTGTTGAACACACGGTGGACGTCGTCGACAACGACGGTCGGACTGTAATTCTTTTTTTCTGACTCGATCCAGCTTGTCAAGGCA